ACACTGAGCGGCGACAGCGATACCCAAGACGTGATGAGACGGCTGGTTATTGTGACCATATTGACCAAAATCTTCGCTCGTAAGTCCCAACTCGGTTTCTTCGTGAATTATACCCCGATAATCGCTTGTGTAAACTGGGCACACCTGTTCACTGAAGTGATTCTCCAAGTGCTCACAGAGTGCTTCTCGGCCACCATACTTCGTGATGAGGAAATCCACATTGAAAGGCGCATAGAAGCGATACTGGCGAGCTGAAGCCTCAGTAAAGAACTCAGCTGACCACGATGACGGGTCGAACGGAGAAATCCAGTTCCCGCTAGCTTCGAGCGGCTCGAACAATTTGCTCTCAGTGTTGAAGGACATCTCCAGGGCATTCTGAGCTCTACTATAGAGAACGCTAGCATCAGAATAGTGTCCTAGTTTGGACGCTGCTGCTGCAATCACAGAGTCGGCCTCGGCGAAATTGAGGCCTCTCGATACGACTTCGGACACACTTGATCTAACCGGAATGTATCTGAAATCATTTCATCATCATCTATCTATCATCAATGAAAGAACTACAACTCACCCTCGCTCGGAGTACGCGCCAAGTCCTTCTCTCCCAAACTGCGAGTTCTTAGGACGTTCCACAAAAGCATCTTTCCGGATGGCCGCGTACATATCATCAGCCAAATGCGGCGTCTTGTTGGCAATTATCGCCCAACCAAAAACCTGAAATGATTAATGAATACAACATTGAAGGTGAATAATTCCTCACCACATCCCCCATAGTGCCAACCATAGAGCCCCTCTGGCCAGGTGACGCCCACGTTGGTAACCATTCAGCTTCCTTATAGGCATTCACCCACCCCTCTAAAAGACGGTCTAGAATGTCCGGAGCGGCAACACTTAACCAGAGGTAAACCGTCCTGTAAGCATCCCAAAAGCCACTGTCAGTCGCCAACTCGCCAGGTACGACTTTCCCAGTATAAACACTGTAGTGCCCGAGTTGATTATTCTGATCATATTCACCAAGAAGTCTCGGGAACAGCATAGTTCGATAGAAATTGGTATAAAAAGTTCTCAAAAAGTTACTGTTTTGCTGTACTGTATCATAAGTAACCAGACTTAGGCGTGTTTGCCATACGTCTTCACCTTCCTTCACGAAAGTATCAAAGTTCTTACACAAAGGTAACTCCCTCGCCAAATTTACTTGAGCTTGTTCATTAGAGATGAAAGACGTAGCGATACGGAGGTGTACCGAAAGTCTTTTATTATTTTCCGCAGCATCATACTCCAGCATGATTGAACCATCTATGTTGCGCATGCGTGCAGGTGGTGGGTCAATTACCCCATTGATAAACATGGCGAACCCAGGCAATACACCACCGTTGTTAACACTGGTTTGAGTAGAGAGACGACCCTCCTCGTCGTGCACGACTGGTGTCGATGAGCTATAGTCAAATAGTCTCACAAGCACCGTTGAGTTGACCTTGGGTGGAAAAGAAAACCGAAAAAATGCAGCATGTTCCGTCGGTGTCATTTCAATCCTAGCGCCACCCATATCAGCGTTACCAGGATACAGAGCCGATGACTTGAAGTAGTGTGGCTTGTAAGTAGTCTGCAGCGGAGCGAACGACACAGATTGCTGTAATCCATCATGGGATATGATAGCATTAACGAGAAAATAACCATAGTCGCCTATCCATATGGACGGTTGGTGAGTGCATCGAACACCATAGAAGCTTCTCGAGGCCGGGTTGAAGTAGCGTACAGTGGCATGGTCGGGTTCAGTTTGAACAGACCAATGATTGAAGCCGAATGGTCGGCCCATGAGGGGCGTGGCGCCACCAGTAGACAACTCATAAGTATTAGAAGTACCGGCTAAAACGTTAACATAATCGACGAGGCTATCAGCAGCTTGAATGCTACTGATCATTACTTTGAAAGCGAAGATGAGGTCCAGCAGGTTATTCATATTGACAACAAATAAATGGGACTGAAATGAAAACCAACTCTGTGGTTAGTCGGTGTGCATGCGTGCAAGAAGAGACACTCCCCCTACACCTCAACATAGAATTATTACGCTCAAAAT